CACACACACACACACACACACACACACACACACACGGAATACTATGCAGCCATCAAAAATGAAATCTTGCCATTTGCAATGACATGGATGGAACTAGAGGGTGTTATGCTAAGCAAAATAAGTCAATCAAAGAAAGACATATATCATATGATCTCACTTTTATGCGAAATTTAAGAAACAAAACAGAGGATCATAGGGGAAGAGGAAAAAAGAAGACAAAATCAGAGAGGGAGACAAACCAAGAGAGACTCTTAAATATAGGAAACAAACTGAGGGTTGCTTGGGGGGGGAGGTGGGGGGATGGGGTAACTGGGTGATGGACATTAAGGAGGGCATGTGATGTGATGAGCACTGGGTGTTAGGTAAGACTGATGACTCACTGACCTCTACCTCTGAAACCAATAATACATCATATGTTAATTAACTGAATTTAAATTAAAAAAACAGATCTGGTTGTTCTTAAAAAAAAAAAAAAGAATAGAACCTAAGGAATGTATGTATATCAGACACACCCAAAGCTTGTGTTTTAACCTTTTTCTTTCTTTAGTTCATTTATTAATTTGTTATTTTTTTTCTGCAGCTATTTGTAGAGGCTACATTTCAGGCAGTATGTAGGTGCTCAGGAGTCAAGGATGAGTAAAAGCTGGCATGCATCCTGGTAGCATAGTGGGAATGAAAACAGTTAAGCCAAAAGCACACAAGAAAATATTTTCAAATTATGCTAACTCCTGTGAACAAGAATATGGCATTGTATGTAACAAGGTGACCTGATTTAATACGGAGTATTAGAAATATCTCTGTGAGAAGTGTCACTTGAGCTGAGGGTGAAAGATGAAAAGAACCGGGCAGTGGACAGCATCGCAAACATAGGCACGGGCCACACCACATAGCAGTCTTCTAAGGCTGGAGAGAGCAAGAATTACTAGATAAGGGATGGAAGAGATCTAAAGTTAAGTCTGAAAAAGTAAACAGAGACAGGCCATACAGGATCCTATAGACCATGGAAAGAGGTGAAAGGGTTTTATGTGGCTGGATGATACAAGGCTCACAGTGTAAAAATATAACTGGGGTGTGTAGGAAGGACTGGAGAGGTCCAAGATTATCCAGAGAAAGCTATGAATAGCTACAACCATAGTCTGGGTCAAACATGATGGAACAGGGTGGAATACATGGTAGTCTTCTGTTGATTATCTCTTATCCTACTGAGCACACTGCAATGCATCTCATAGGCACTGGGACCAGGCTTAGTATTTTTGGAGCTGTCAGCTAAGAAATAAAAGTCATGGAAATGCAACAGTGAGTCTCTGTGATAAATGGACAAGGTATAAGGAAGCTCTTACTCTTTTATCAATAAATATCAGACTGTGGTATGAACTTGCATGTTCTAGTTATCACCGAACTATATTAGGCCCACATATTTTACTGGATTTGGTTCTGTATAATCAAATACTTATCTTCCCCTTCTCTGAGAGTTTTTAAGATATGTATAAAGGGCTTCAGATCTGATGTGCTGAAGGAGAAAAATGATTCTTAATAGCCAAACCTGGCCCCATATTAAATAAATTTATATTCATACTGGACAAGGGAAGCATGTTGTCTCTTGCCTGGGCTTCTTCTTTCTTTGATTAATAATCCCTTGCATGGCAGAACACTGTTGTTAACTTGCCTGTGACTGACACCTTTATCTATCTGTTCTTGGAATAAAAATAGCTTCACTCAAGTCTCAGTAAAAATGGTTGTTCATCAGGGCGAATTTAATAATACCATTGCCCCTCCTTAGAGTTCAGTGAAGATGGGACAGGAGTCCTCTGGTATGTCGCCAGGTTTCTGACCTCCCATGGGAGCTGAACGCAGTCAACGGCTGCCCTGTATGCTCGCTTGGTCTGCCTAGGCTGTTTGCCTTGACATCTCTTCTTTTTGTGATACCCAAGCCTCCCCCATATCACCACTCCTACCCCACTTGCCACCAATCCGAAGAGACCTCACTCATCCCCTGAGGGATCATTAGCTGAAAGCAGCCAAAGGTGCAACAGGTCCCCGGCATGATTACATGTTTTTTAGCACATCGTTGCTTACTGAAAGACCTTTAAAACACAACAAATATAATGCGCAGTAGTGCAGAGGGAAATTTGTGAACCAAACAGCCTGGGTCCAGGAAATTTTTCTGGTGCCCATTGAACCTATGGCAGGGATGACCAGCCAGTCATCACACTGGAGGTGAAGAATATCATTTCCAGAAGACAACACCAAAAATGTATTCATTGTCAGATTTTTAAAAAGCACCTCCTGTGTTTCTGTCTAAACTCCCCCAAGGGCTTCATTTCTGTCATCTTCTATGTGAATCAGTCTTCAGTGATAAGCAAAATTTTATTCATTGGACAAGTAAGCATCAGGGACTGTTAGTCTTCGTTAGAATGTTGCTGCCTCAGATTAATGATTCATTGAATTTCTCTTGTTTCTTTTCCTTGCAAGTCCCCACCTTCTCCTTTAGCACAATGATTGTTATAAAGACGAAAAAATACTAAGTACAGTTCTTCAGTTATTGATAGTCTACATTTCTTTCCTGAGCAAAGAATTTGTCACCAGGAATTAGTTTGCATCCCTGGGCACTGCTCAAAGACACTTAATTCTTTGATTCAAATAAAAGTTTAAAATGTGATCTCAGGGACATTATGTCAAAAGAAACATGTCAAAACAGTGCTGATTCAGAGAGCATTATTGTGCCTAGAAATCATGTCTTTGCTTTGAAAGAACAAAATAAATCATAGCAGCAGGAATGCATTTTTTTTTTACAAGAGGCCCTCTGCAAACAGCAGAGGCCAGTTCTGCTCTTCTGTGTCTCATTTACCCTTCCCATCTCTCCACCCCATGCTCCCTCAAGTGTGAAGTCCATGCTTGATCGTACGTCCTGCTTGAAACTCTTCAATGTCACCCCAATGCCTACAGACTTGTGAACAGGCGCCTGTCATGGGATCTGCTCTGTGTTCGTCTCTAGGCTCAAGCTTCCCCTTCATACCTGTTGTCGTTTTTAGAGCAAACCCACACTATTTTCCTTTCTCCACTCACGCTATGTTCTTTCCCATGTCTGTGCTCAGTGCAGGCTATTTTTGCCTATCAAATCTTACTTTGGGACCTGGAGAACTCTTCAGCTCTACCATGTATTAGGTGTTTGACTTTGTGCCTATTACTTCACCTGGCCTTGATTTCCTCATTTCTAAAGTGGGAGCTTAAAAGCAGCATTTGGGGGCCATGGTGTGCCATTTGTAGAGGGCTTCAGCACCTGCCCCAGAGAAGAGGCTCAATGGAGACATCAGTGACACTAGCTTTATTTTGTGGTTATTACTGTCACCATCCTTCAAAATGTAACTCAGGTCTCGCTTCTGCTGAGAAGCTTTCCCTTACCTCCCCATCCCAAAGTGAATTACTTCCTTGTACTATGCATTTTTTTATTGCCCTTTTATATCTTTTTCTTATCATTAATGTGGTACATGATTTGTTATAAGGTTGCTGGGCAATGAAGTTGATCATGTGGAAAAATGGGAATGAGAATGGTTCAAGGACGCCTCATAATTCATATTTTATGGACCTCCTGCGGTAGTGTGGTTAGGATATGATGGTTAATGGTACGTGGACGAGTGGGATTTTCTTTAGTTCCTGAGCTTTATAGCTTTGTAAGCTAATAGTTATTGAGTGCTTACTATATGTCAGGCAAGACATTAAATGTTCTATTTGTTCTTTACTATGACCACATGTGGTAGGCATTCTTATTATTCCCCTTCACACATGTGGAAACTGAAGGTCCAGGATCATAGAGCAAAGATAGACCATCTGCAACCAAAGTTTGAACTCTTCGCTAAAGAACACTCTGTTCTGATCTATGAGGTGTCATGTGCCTCTGGGACGCTGTAGTGTGTAAATGTATTTAATATACTTTCATTTCTAACTCTATTCCAGGTACTCCTTCCAAGATGAGGAGGATATGTTCATGGTAGTGGACCTCCTGCTGGGCGGGGACCTGCGTTATCACCTGCAGCAGAATGTCCGTTTCCAGGAGGATACCGTGAAGCTCTTCATCTGTGAGCTGGCCATGGCCTTGGACTACCTGCAGAGCCAGCGCATCATCCACAGGTCAGTTAGGTCCAAGGGGACAGCCTTGCACTGAATGTACAGGAGAGAATTCACAACCTGGTGCATTCAACAAGTTCTTGTTGAACATGACGGGTAATCCTCACTGAACTCTTGCAACAGTCCCTTAAGGTAGTCTTATTGTCCCTCTTATGAGGATTTAAAAAAAAATGAGCCCATTGAGCTTAATTTGCTTAAAGTCACAGTTAGTAAACAATAATACCAGAATCAATGAGTATTGGCACTAGACAAAGAAAAGGTGACATACAAGAATGTATCTCCTTCACTTGTGGAATCTGTGTTAAATGAAACAAAGAAATAACACAAGTAGCTATAAACCCTAACAGACAATAGACAGAAAAGGATAATACTTTAATTTGTAAAGGTATCGGTAGGTGGGGTGCTTGGGTGCCTCAGTCGGTTGGGTGTCCGACTCTTGATTTCAGCTCAGGTCGTGATCTTGGGGTTGTGGGATCAAGCCCTGTGTCAGGCTCTGCACTCAGCATGGAGTCTGCTTCACATTTTCTCTCCCTCTCCCACTCCCTCCCACTCATTCTCTCCCTCTCTCAAATAAATAAATAAAATCTTTTAAAAAAGATATTGGTAGGGTTTTTTTGTTTGGCTTTTATTTAAATTCTAGTCAGTTAACATATAATGTAATATTGGCTTCAGGAGCAGAATTTGTGTGATGTAAAGATATTGGTACTTTTAATGATGATTTCCTATATAGTATCTCAATCTCTATAATAATATGTGATAAGTGATCAGAGTAGGTATAGTTGGACCATGTTAAATATGAGAAAACTCTCATTTGGAGATACTAATTATCATCCAGCGTATTTATGAGAATTTTTTTATTAAGTTTCTCATTTAATTTCAGTATAGTTAACATGCAGTCTTATATTAGTTTCAGGTGTATGATATAGTGATTCAGCAATTCTGTACATTACTCAGTGCTCATTAGATAAGCGCACTCCTTAATCCCCTTCACCTGTTTCACCCCCCCATCAACCTCCCCTCTTGTAACCATCCATTTATTCTCTATAGTTAAGAGTCTGTGTCTTCGTTTGTCTCTTTCTCTCTCTTTTTTTCCCTTTGCTTATTGTTTTGTGTCTTAAATTTCATGTATGAGAGCAATCATATGGTATTTGTCTTTCTCTGACAGACTTATTTCACTTAGCATTATACTCTCTACCTCCATCTATTTCATCGTATTGGAAGTCCTAGCCACACCAAGCAGACAACAAAAAGAAATAAAAGGCATCCAAATTGGTAAGGAAGAAGTAAAACTTCCACTATTTCTGGATGACATGATAATACATAGATAAAACCCTGAAGACTCCACCAAAAAGTACTAGAACCGATTCAGTAAAGTCAATAAACCTAGGTCTCTCTGAACCCAAAGTCATAGCTCTGTCTACTATAGCAACTCGCATTCATTACACATATGAAATATATGCATTAAGTACACATCATTAAGTGAAAAGTCAACACATGTGAGTCTGCCACTGTCTTATTTCTAATCTTTGAAGAATTTGCTAGGTTTTTAACTATGTTTACATCTTTACAGTGTAGTAAAAATTTGGCCAAATAAAATATTTGCCAACCATTAAGTTGATGCTTACCTAAAATTTATCTAGATTAGTACAGAGCCTGTGGGTGAAGATATAGCATCATAATGTATAGATTCTTTGTGCAGGCACTATGGAACAATCTGTGTGTGTGTGTGTGTGTGTGTGTGTGTGTGTGGCCTTGACCCTGTATACTTATATGCTCATTGTTTAATTTCCTGTCTTTTGGAGGACCTATTTGTTGTGGAAGCATGCTATTCAGGCAACATATGAACAGAAAGCAGACCAGTTAATCATGTAGGATCTTGGAAGTAAATGAACACACTTGGTGTTTTGTCAGTAACTGGGAACCCTGTTCCCAAGCAGTCTTTCTCCCATACTGACTTTCTGGTCCCCCACAGTTCTTTCTAAGGAGAAACTTTCCTATTTGTAGTCTATGGTGTCCCTCTCAGGGTATTCATGCTCACTCATCTGACCCAAGATTGCCAACCCACAATCCGGCTGGGTTGCTGACACTCCGGATCTCAAAAAGGAGGCAGGTACTATGAGAAGTTCGCATGGCTACAAGTACCTTTCAACTTTCTTCTTTCCCTGTTTGAATCTGGGCCCCTGCCTTCTTTCTCTGGGCTTCATTTTTTCTGCCCTATGCTTAGAAGTGTGTTCAAAAAGGAATTCAGGAGGGGAAAAAAAACAGAAAAGTCAACACAATTTGTACCCTAAGGAGCTTGCTAACACCAGGCATCGCTGTCCATTCCTTCCTCCCTTACTCTCTGTTGCTCTCATCACCATTCTGCCACTTAAATAAGAAACCAAGGATTAACTTTCTGCCTCTTGGCCTTTACATACAATTATTACTTCATTCCCATTCTCAGAAGAGCCTCTTTGTACTCAAGTGTCTCCTCACCGCGGCAAATGAAGGCAAACTCAGTGACATTCTGAGCATGGTGTTAAAATGAGAGGACATCTTCTTGGGGTCAGAAAATAATGCAGGTGTATTTCTGTTGTCTATAAGGCCCCACTGCACTTCCCATGTGTTATGTATGTATATATATGTATATATGTATATATACATACATATACATATGTATTTTTTAAAGAATTTATTTATTATTTGAGACAGAGAGAGAGAGCACAAGCTGGGGTGAGCAGAGGGAGAGGGAGAAGCAGGCTCCGCACTGAGCAGGGAGCCCCACGTGGGGCTCGATCCCAGGGCCCTGGCATCATGACCTGAGCTGAAGGCAGACGCTTAGCTGACTGAGCCACCCAGGTGCCCCACATGTGTTACATTTGATAGGCAACTGTAGCACTTTGTACCTCTCCTGAGGAGCTGTGACATGTTGACGAGCAATTACTTAATATCTGCTGCTCTACTACAGTGTAAACCTCATGGGTTAGGGCCTTGTGCGTTTTGCTTTTCACTGTATAACCAGCATGGAGTAAAAATATGAGGGAATGATTGACTAAAAGCCAGAATTACGAATAACAAAGACAAAATTAAAACACAAGACATTAAAGCCAAGAATTTCAGACCTACCTTGGTCTTCACATGGAGTAACCATATAATTTTATCATCCAAACCAGACTACCCCTGAAAATGAAAGGAGTTGCTATTAATAATTATGCTTGGGCAACGAGCAAACCCATAAGTGTTCTGGAAAAAAATCAGGACATGTGTCAACATCATTAAGGCTTTTCAAGACAGTAGTGACCAAATAAACATGTTAATTGGGAGATTGCTTGGGTAATCATGGCTTTCTGCCTCCAGAGCACCAAATATCAAATTGAGAAGGTGTCAAGTGGCTTAAAACACAGAGACACAGTAAAATAAGCTGTGTTCCTTTGTCTGAGGTGTTAAAAGGATAATAATGATGGCACTCCAAGGCTCTGGCTCACGGGGCAGAGTTAAAAGCATGAAGAGCAACAGGGAAGAAGAGAAGGCTTTCGAGTGCTCTAATTCTCTTTTTAAAATCTTTCTTCAGGGGCACCTGGGTGGCTTAATCAGATAAGCGCCTGACTCTTGGTTTCAGCTCAGGTCTTGATCTCAGGGTCATGAGTCGGCCCCACATCCACGCTTAGCATGTAGGCTGTTTAAGATTCTCTCTCCCCCTCTCTCTCTGTCCCTCTGTGCATGCTTGATTGGCCTCTCTCCCAAAAAAAAAAAAAAAAAAAAAAAACTGTCTTCAAAAAAATCCACAAAATTCATGCTAGATTTGATGGAATCTAGGATAACAAAACATCTTTCAGCTACTCAGAAAATTGGATTATAAGACATATCCTGAGTTCTGAGTTATTATAGTGTGAATGAAGAAAACAGAATCTATGAAATTCAGTAGCTTCCTAAGACAAGGAAAGACCATCTGCATATATAAAATGTGTGACTTCCTAATTTCAGGCACAAAACAACATTTTGTCTCTGGACATGGTAGAAGATTCAAAATCATCCCCATCAGTCAGCAAACGCGGAGCAGTGGCAGCGGTGGGCTGCCATTTACTGAGGGCTTCCCGGGGCCCAGGTGCTCTGCCGAGCAGTTGCAATTTATTTCATTTAATCTGCTCACAACCAGGAGGCTGAGGGTGTTACTGTCCCCATTTTACAGCCCAGGAAACTGGTTTAGAAAGATGAAGTAACTCGCCCGAGGTCGCATGGCTAACAAGTAGGTGAGGCATCACTGAAGAAAATGCAGATGTCTTCACCATTCTCCACACTTGTGGTGGTCAGCATGGTTGTGGCTTGGGGGCGGGTGGGGGGGCGCTGTGGGACGAGGTGAGGCACGGCCCCTGCCTGCAGGCACTCAGTCTGGCGGCCCAGTTGAAGATGGTACATGTGGAACCAACTGAAGAGAGAACAGCATACAACTAGACGCTAAATTGTGTGAGAAAGCCTGAAGTACTTCAGACAAGATGACGGTTTGGGGTGACAAAACAAAGTTTCTTGAGAGCTCGGAGGATTTATAAAGGGTTTTCATTCACACTATAATAATTCAGAACTCAGGATGTGTCTTATAATCCAATTTTCTGAGTAGCTGAAAGATGTTTTGTTATCCTAGATTCCATCAAATCTAGCTTCCTCTGACATAGACTGGACTCCTCTTTCTGCTCTTGTTGTGAAAACCCTTTATAAATCTAGAAGTACTCTGAAAGCACTCATTTATCTCCCTGTGTTACATAGAATGGTCTCTGTTTTTAATTTTTTCTTCACGTTGACTTTCCTGTCAGCAGTGTCTACTTATTTTTTTAAATACCATAAATCCTGTTTCTTTCATAAATTCCAAGCAAGACATAAAGGGGGTTTGTTTTATTTTGTGGACCTTTTTTTTAACCCATTGACTTTAATTTTTGGTAGTTTCCTAAATGTGTAGAATATTTAGCCGCTTGTCCTTAACTTTAGAAACGTCCTTTTCTACAGTTGTTGTGAAAGACACAGGATTGCAC